CATAATCATCTCAGTAAATGCAGAAAAAATATACATAGTATATATTATATGAGTTGAGTCGGCCTCCTAGGCTCAGGAAATTCTTCTACCTCAGTCTCCTGAGTAGCTGAGACTACAGGTGCATGCCATCATGCCCAGCTAATTTTTTTTATTAAATCAATATTTTTTTAATGGTTTTGTGGGGTACAGTTAAGGGTTAGGTGTACAATTACATTTCATTCAGGCACCCTGTTGATAAATGGTGTTTCCCCTTCCCCAGACAGATATTGGCTACTGTTAATCCCATCCCCCCCATAGTTTCCCAGTACCATCAGTCATTTTCTTATAGTATTACATTGGATGTTCAAGGTCCATTATATGAGTGAGAACATGTGATACTCGGATCTTTGTTTCTGTGAGAGGTCACTCAGTATTATAGACTCAAGTTCCATCCAGGTTGCTGCGAAATTCATGATTTTATGGCTGCGTAGTAATTTTTTATTTTTTATTTTATTTTAGAAATGAGATCTCACTCTGTTGCTCAGGCTGGTTTCAAACTCCTGGGTTCAAGCAATCCTCCTGCTTGGCCTCTCAAAGTGCTGGGATTACAGGGGTGAGACATTGTGCCCAGCCAGAAAAAAATATTTCATAAACCCAAGACCTGTTGATTATTAAAAATTTCAGCAAACTAAGAAAAGAAGAGAACTTTCTCAACCTAATTAAGGGCACATAAAAACCCTGCACCTAAACCATACTTAGTGGTGCACGACTAATTAACGCTTTTCCTCTAAAGTTGGCAACCAAGGCAAGGATGTCTGCTCATATCTCCTTATTCAACATCATGCTGGGAGTTCTAGCTAGTGTAATAAGGCAAGGAAAAGAAATCAAAGGCATACAAATTGGAAAAGGAAGAAATAAAACTGTCTTTATTACTGGATGACACAGTAACTACATAGAAAATATGGCATCTACAAAAAGCCTCTAGACCTAAGAAGAGAGTTTAATGAAGTTGCAGTGTACTAGACTAAAAACAAAAAACGAATGCATGTCTATATATTAGCAATGAACAATCTGAAAATGACATTAGGAAATCAATTCCAGTCACAATAACATCAAAAAGAATAAAACAACTAGAAATAAATAACAAAAGAAGTACAAGATCTATACATTGAAAACTACAAACTATTGCTGAGAGAAATTAAAGGTCCAAATAAATGAAGAGATATATCACATTTATGAATAAAAGTTTCAATGTTAAGTTGGCAATTCTCCAAAGATTGTTCTATAATTTTAGTGCAACACTGAAATCTCAACAAGCTTTAGGTAACACAATAATTTAAAAAGCCAATCCTGGAATTTCTGTGGAAATGCAAGGAACCTAGAATAGCAAAAATCATTCCAAAAAAGAAAAAAAAAGTTGGAGAACTCATATTCTGTGATCTTAAGACTTAATATAAAGCTAAAGTATTCTAGAAAGTATGTGCAGCATAATAGACATATAGATCAATAGATCAATATAGATTAATAGAGTCCAGAAATAAATCTTCATATTTCTGCTGATTCATTTTTGACAAAACTGCCAAGAGAATTCAATGAAAATAAGTTTTTAAAAAAACAAATGGTGCTAGAACAATTGGACATACATATGCAAAAAAATGAACTTAGACCCTTACTTCATAGTATGTACAAAATTACCTTAAAATTGTTTACAGGCCTAAATATAAACACTAAAACGATATGGTTTTTAGAAGAAAACAGGAAAAACTCTTTGTGATCTTTGATTAGGCAAAGATTTCTTAGATATAACTCCAGAAAAATGGGTCTACATAAGAAAAAAACTGATAAATTGGAGTTCGTCTGAATACAAAACTTGTGTGCTTCAAAGGCACCATTAAGAAAATGAAAAGACAAGTCACAGAGGGAAAATATTCATAAATTATATGTTATAGAAATAACTTATTAAGTGTAATAAGAAAACAGCCCAATATACAAATGGGCAAATTATTTGAATAGATACGTTATCAAAGAAGACATATGAATGCTAATAAACACATTAAAAAGTGGCACACATAAAAAGACTAGAGAAATGCAAATTAAAACTACAGAAAAGTGTCATTACACATTTGATAGAATGACTATAATAAAAGAGTGACTGTAAAATGTGAGCAACAATGGTCAGAAACTGGAAACCTTATACATTGCTGGTGGGAAAATAAAATAGTGTAGCATTTTAGAAAACATTCTGACAATTCCTTAACAATTAAATATGTACTTTTCATGCAACTCATCTTGCTATTCTATTTCATATCACTCCTAGGTCTCTTAAGAAAAATGAAAATATAAGCACACACAAACATTTGTATCCAAATATTCATAACAACATTATTCATACATGCCAAAAACTGAAAACAACTCAAATGTACCCCCACTAATGAACGGACCACAAAAGGTAGTGTATCCACAACCTTTTTAATGTATATATACTACTCAGCCATAAAAGAAACAGACTACTCATACATGTACCAACACAAGTAACTCTCAACAGCATTATGCTAAGTAAAATACTACCTTCTGTATGAGTTCCATTCATAAAAAAAATTCTAAAAAGGTAAAACTGTTCACAAATCAGATTAGTGGTTACCTGGGATTAGGTGTGGGAGTGGGGACAGGTGGCAAATGGGCATGAGGGAACTCATGATGACGGATGTTCTGAGGATTATGGTGATTATTATTGATGTATACACTTACATTGGTGGATTTTATGGTATGCAGATTATACCACATGGTATAGGTTAAAAAAATTAAATATGCTCTAATATCCAAAGTATTTTAAAGCAAGACACATATATGAATAATATCATTCCATCTATATTAAATATACTGTATATATTCATATGTGTGCTAGTAGACTATAAATCTTCTGGAAGTACACATACAAATAACATGTTTGCTTCTGAAAAAAAGGACTAAAAGTCTAGCACAGGAGTTCTGACATTATTTGCTTAAAAAATGGAACCAGGTATATTATTACTTTATAAGCTTAAAACCTTAGTAAATAATTTAAAACAAACAAACAAACAATTATGGTCCTGATGTAAAAACCTAGACCTATGATTTTGCTCTTGATGATCTATACTTATCTGAATAGGGTTCGAAGCACTTCTGAGTAGCCCATAATAAGAGAATCAAAGTGAATTTCATTCCAATAATAGTTTCTATTAATTTCAGAGAGGTGAGTACAAATTATGGAAATTTGGGAAAATGCAAGAAGTTTTCAAATAAAAGTACTTTAGACTTCACAGGGTACTATATTCTGCAACTCTACAGTAGCTAAAACATAAAAGTAAGTCTTTAATCCTCAAACATGAACAAAATGCAAACACAACTTTGATTACATGAGGATTAAATGAGTGCAGGGGATGAGCAAGAGCAGGGTAGCTTAGCTGATAGCAGGCACATAGTAAATGTTTTCAGAAAGGTATAAATTATCATACTATAAATAGAGGATTTCAAAGTACTTTTTCCCTGCTAGGCCATGCTTTAAAAGAAGCCATTATATATAAAAGGTGTTCAGATTTGTTTCTATGAATCCTACAGTGGATACTGCACAGTAATTTTCAGTTATACCTTTTAATGTCAAGAACCTGTTCCAAATATTTGGTTTCCAATTGGACACTATGATAATATGGCTATTTAATTAAGAATATTTATTTTAATCTTAGTGGGAGAAATTAAAATATACTGTCAACATTTAAGTATCAAAATTCAAGTGATATGCTGTAATAATGCCTTAAGGTCAAATTTATGGTAATTTTGCTATCAAATTCATGTTCCCTTTTAATACAGAACATATGACTTTATAGAGTATTGCTCACAAATGCCTTGTATTTGATGTCTATTTGGAACAAGGAACCAACAATGTAATACCACCTGAAAGGGGAAACACCTGTAGAGAAGGCCAAATAAATCATAAAGGGGTCTTTTTTCATTTTATCATTGACTGCCTTCACTTGCATTTCAGAATGAAAGGGCTTTCCCACTGTTTTGCATTTTGGATAGGCAATCACATATCACCTATGTTTGCCACATGTGTTCATGCATGAGTTCCTCAGTGTACTGTTCCTTTCGCCTATTCCTTCTTTACCTTCAGTGTTCATTTAGACTCAACACACATTTAATGAGCACCTATTGTGGGCCACTCAAAACTAAGAACATTACCATGGGATTAGGTAGCATCATTATCTCACTATAACAGATGAGAAAACTGAGGCTCATGGACTTTAAGTATCCTAAGTTCCAAAATTGGTAAGTGGGAAAACCAGGACTTAGCCTGAGCCTTTTTTACTCAGTTTTCAAATATTCTCTTTATCTATGGTCCTTCCCCACCCCTCCTCTCCCTAGTTTCACTGGTCATCAAGAGCAATGCAGTAGAGAAGTGAAGGAGGGGCCCTCTGCTTGACCCTACTGCCTTCCTCACAGAGAAAGTAAAGGGGAAGAAACATCCAGGGCTCGGGGCTTCTATCATAGTCTTTACTATTCTATACTTCACCCAATCTAGAACATTTATCCCAGAGCTCCAGCCCTCATCCTGTTCCATAACTTCCTTTCCAGGTCATAGGAGGCACTATGGGTACTTGCTGCAATAGCAGTCCCTGTAGTAGTAGAAAAAGCATCCTTAATGATCCTATTCCAAACAAGGAACCAACAATGAATTCTCTACAAATCTTATGAGGATTATCAAGGCTATGTTTGGGCTTGGTAGGGTTTGAACCAATTTCTACCTGCTAGCCTGGAAATCTAAGTACAATTCAAAGCATTGTTTCCACTGGAAAATCATGTTTCTTAATTAAATTAATGAGAAACCAGTTTGAGTTTCCTACAACGGATATACTAATGAGCATTTGAAGTATAACATTCATAGTTGAGGAGCCAATTTTTACCCTCCAACTTTATATTAATATATTTGTAAGACCAAACGAATTGTTTCTGTGCTTAATATAAAATAGAGAAAATATATGTTCTCAAAAACACAGCTTTCTGTACTCATGTTTTCGTCTTTTACTTTTATTTTTAAAAGTGTGATTTCATTAAACTCCAGGAAAACCTCCATTTTGACAATATTATTAAAGCATGCTACTATTTTATCTATTGGTGAGCCAGTGTTTTTTCTTACCTCCTCGATGGATAATCAAAGAAGTTTCACTTCCAATGGGACAGTCCTTAAGTATATCCACTACTTCTGTATGGCTCAGGTTCTGTACATTCTGCTGGTTGATCTCAACAATGAGGTCGCCTTCACATAGGCCAGGGCATCCCTGAATGTCAAGTATTTGTTTCACCCGCTGTCCTGTTGGACTGTCAGCAATAGTGAAGCCAAAGCCCTGGGCACCTTTCACAATGGTTAAGGTCATAAGTTCAGCTTGGGTGGCCCCAGATGAAGCCATAGACACATTGTCGTCATGGACGGGTGGTGGATACGTGCCATCTAGCTGACCATCAGCTGGCATGGAGTGCAAAGAATGAGGCGGCCGATCTGTTATGTCTGGAACTGACTGTGAGGTCCGAGAAATATATTCCAAATATGTTTCATAGTTATGTCTTCCATTGACCATCACTGGAGGTGGCCTCTCCATTATTGCAAGGGGTGGCACCAAGCTGCTAGCAGGGTCTTCAGGATCAAAGGGCAAAGGGTAGCCACGACACAACACCAAGTTGACACTCTGACCAATAGGAACAGACTGGAAAAGTTTGACAACATCTGCATGAGTGTGTCCAAGGACACAAACTTCATTAATATAGACAATGACATCACCTGCAAGAAAAAAGAGATTGACAACATGAGGTAAGTTCAATTAACATTCACATAGAGAAATGGCATTATTTATGAGACTAGTGGAAGAGGTGCTCTGTTTCTTAGTAAGCAGTGAGAAAATCAATTAGAATAATATTTAAATTCAATGTAGGTGAATCAAGGTTACAACAGGTCTGCCAACAAATACAATGATTAAATGCTGAAAAAAAAAAAAAAACCAAAACGCTATTTGGTTATTCTTGAAGTTCAGAAACAACTTCAAATTCAGAAAGAACGACTCAGAAGAAAGAGGTTGAAGAATTTGTACCTTGAAGAACCCACATGTTTTATGCTTTTTCATCCTACTTTCCGTCTTCAGTGGACTCAGTAAGTTTTGGATGAAAAAGGAAGCCCCGACACATAGTTTTTTGGGGTAAAAGTTGAATGAGTCAAATGCCTCTTTTCTTTTTTATGGAGGAGAAAAATATTTGCCCATTTACTTTTTCCCATCTATAGTAGGTGTAATTATGAAGCTTCCATGCATATGCAAGCAAAGGTCAAGAGCTAGATCAATATCCTGGCTCTACTACTTAACAGATATATAATATTGGGCAAGTTGCTTACCTGCTTGCAGGCAAATTGCTTGGCACAGTGCTGGACACATATAAAGGGTGCCAAAAATGTATACACATATAAAGAAAAGAATAAACTGTATTAAAATTGTAATACTCAATATATACCAGTTACAAAAGATGTATACAAGTCACATTTGACTTCCTCAATTGCAAGAGGTGCTCAAAGTGGTTACCATCAGCGTCAACACTTCTGATTATGGTGAACTAAAAGTAATACATAGAACATCACTTAAATGTGTATACATTTTTTTGGTAATGAGTGCTCAGTAAGTGTGGAACATTATTAATTATTAACATTATTATTGTTGTTGTTAAGATAGAATGGAGGAGATATGGGACCATGGCTTTCAAATAGGAAGCTGTCATAGGCTCATCCTCTGATCTTTGATAAATTGATATTTATGCTGATCATTTTCAATAAAGGCATTTGTCCTTTCTCCCCAGTGAATTATCATAGATATGCAGAGTTCTGCTGGTTAGAAGTTAACTTTATGATATTAGAAATGCCCTGAATGCAAATTATTCACTATAAAATATATTCAGAGTGACAATTTTTCCTTCTTAAAAATGTAGCAAATCACGTCTGTTTGAAATAATTGTTTTTAAAAGTTCAGTTATGTATGAATAACAATTTTATTTTTGGAGAACTGTTCTATTGTGGATTGGTATTTTTATTCTCACAAACCATAATACTTGAAAATTGAACTTGCAAACTGAGAATGTGCCTGGCTATGCTAAGGAGTATATTAAGGATAAAAAGACATGTTTTCATATATTGTCAAATAAGTAACTCAACAGACATCAATGTATTGGGATAATTCTGAAGTGGGAAGTGCAAATGGTTTGGGATTTCATTCTGAGACATCCTTGCCCATCAAGATGGCAAACTTCAAAAATGAAAAACATAGTTGAACTTTCAGAGTTAAATGCTTTTTTGGTCTTTTGTAGGAGTAAGCCATAAGATGATTGCTTCATTAAATGCACTTAAAAAATACTTCTATGACAAAAACAGTCCTAAGTACCCTCAACAGCATTAACTCGATTGACACTCACTCTGCCCAAATGTTAGAGAATTGTTTGAAAGGGCTACAGACATAGACAGAAAAGACAAACAGACACTTTCAGGGATCCAGGAAGTTCAATCTTCCATTACATCTATCAGAGAGGGTGTGGATGCGATAGCTGGGACATTGTACCAGCACTTAGAAATGAATTGAAGCAGGCATCCCCTCCTTGCTTTTATGATGCCTCATTAGACTGTGGCAGCTGCGGATGCTTTGGACATCATTTTCAATTGGTTCTTGTCATCTCAGTTCTCCAAAGAAGAGTCTGATTCATATAGATTATTTTTCTCCTTCAGCCTCTTCTATTTTTAAAGTTATTATTTTACACATTTAAAACATTGAAAGAATAACATATCTGTGTGCTACTCTCCAATTTAATAATTAGAACATTGCTCATATTAGTTGAGACCAGCACCTCCCCCAACTTGATTCTTTTACTGACCTTTCCAAAGGTGACCATTGTCCTGCATTTGAGGTTTGTTATTTACTTATACTTTATGTTTTGTCATGTCTAGATACCCATAAAAATAATATCTCTAAGTTGTATTCAATCCCTAAGTGATCATCCCTGGAAAGTGTTTTTGCATATGTTAAGCCTTTTAAAATGACATACATTTTAATATTCTATAAAACTTTTCTCAAAAATATATTTGTGATATTTATCTATTTTGATGCTTGTACCTGTAGTTCATTGATTTGTACTGCAATATAGTATCTATTAGATAGCTACATTACAATTCACCAACATCTATTCATTAACGGACACTGGAGTCCTTGGCAAATTTTTGGCTATTAAAGATCATGCTTTAATATCAACCTCTATATGAACCCTTTTCCATTGCCCTTGTGCATATTTGGAGAGTTTTTTGTTATAGACCTTGACATAGAATTGCTGGGTATAGGCCATGTGCATCTTCAATTTTGTTAGGTAATGGCAAATGGCTGACAAGACAGGTCATAACGATTTACATTCCCTTTGGTAGTGTATCAGAATTTTCATTGTTCCCCATCTGTCATAATATTTGATATTCTGTCTTAATTTTTGCTAATCAAATGGGTATGATCATAGTTTTAATTTTCATTTCCCAGGTTGCTAGTGAAGGTAAGCATCTTTCCATGTGTTTATTGGTCACTTGGGTTTTTTCTTGAGTATATTTCATTTCTCCAAGTTTTCTATTCAGTGAGTCTTCTTTTTTATTTTTATTTAACACATTGACTACATTTGAAGTCTACCTTCATTCTTGCTCCAACATTCTCTGCAGGTTTGGAAAGAGGGTATTGTAGAGACCACATGGGATATAAAGTCGAAAGACCTTGGTCTGAGTTCCAGGTCCACCCCTTACTAGCTGTGTGACTTACAAAAAAGCTAGCTTAAATCATCTGTGACTCAGATTCTTCCAAAGTAATGTCAAGCAATAATAATAGCTGTTTATTGTTCTATGAGAAATAAATAAAATTGTACAGGTGAGAGGGTTTCTAAGCTGTAAGTGGTTTGTTTGCTTGCAGAGATAGATCTCACTCTGGAGAGTGAAATAGGCTGGAGTGCAGTGGCCCAATAATAGCTCACTATAATCTTGAACTCCTGGCCTCAAAGAGTTCTCTCACTTCAGCCTCCCAAGGTGCTGGGATTACAGACATCAGTCATTGCACCTGGTCTCTAAGCTATAAATTGTTATGCAAAAGATGATTGCTATTTCAGTTATTATTATTTGTCCTCAGTTATATTCTTCTCAGTTATATTGTATATATTATATACAATATCAGGACAGACCCACTAAGATATTCCCACCACAGTTACAGTCAGGGATGACTTGAGTATAATTGTGGAAGTAATAGGTTTCTGAATGGGTGCATTAAAGGCAAGAGAGGAAGGTAGTAAATGCCACTTTTTCTAAGGTTCTTCCTAACTTTAATCACCGTTAGTAAAGTCTCCGATCCCCAAACATGCTTTATCCTTCCCCCTGCTCTGCTAGAATTTCATAGGGGGAAAAAAAAAAAGAGCTAAGGGTAAGGGTAATGTTCAAAGCTCTCAAGGATCCCTGGCAGGTCTAAAGAGTAGTTATTTGAATTACAGTGTTTAATGTTATCTATTTTTGAGTTTCAATGTGATCTTGCTATTTAGAAATGGAGTAGGAACTATTTGTGGTTCTTAGTAAGACAGCCTTTAAAAATTATGGATATTTTCCACTCAGAGCAATTTTCCTAGACATCAAGCAAGCAAGTGATAAAGAACTCTGCAATAATATCTTTATGAAGATACATAGACAATTTCTGAATGTAAAAGATGAGTGGTCAGTTATTACAAGATAAATCTGACTTGACAGTACTCAACTGCCCACTTTGATATATAGATGCTTAATGAGTCATACCAAAAACTCTAGATGGAGATGTAAGCAAACATTTGCTTGCTCAGATAGAACTGATTGGGTAGGATATTTTGGGACTGTGCTGTATAAATGTCATTTACATGTTGAGAATTAAAAATATGAGACACCTGGTATGTGTCATATGATAGTGCCATGCCTGAGATGGGCTGGGTTTATGAGCCCAGAAAGGTGTGTCATCAGGAAAATCAGCTCTGGCTCTAACACGCTGGCCTACTTAAGAGGGAGAATTGGAAGAGCCCCTTGATCTCTCCATTTCTCAATTTATTCTTTTATAAAATGGGAGTTAAAATCCCTCCATTTTCTCTTTTGCTGAGCTTTTGTGAAAATGAAATCATTCTTGTGAAAATACTTTTAATTTTACCAAAGAAAGGTTCCCCATAAAAATAAGATGATACATTTCTTTTGAAAGCCAAGCATATATTTTCATTACAAGATTGTCTGAATGACTATATTATTTCCTAAATGGTCATTCACTTTAGGCCATGTTTAGGTTAGCTGGTTTTAGGGCTATTGACCTCAGTCCTATTGGTAAGATTGGATGTTAAGTAACGAGTTAGGTGTCCCCATAGGTCTGGTCCCACAACATCCTGATTCCCAGTTACAGGATTTCAAAGTGCAAGTAAAGAAGAGTGAGGCTGACAAAGCAGGTGGTTTAAAACTGCTGTTCTATATGAAAAAGATATGTCCTAAGATATTTTGTTTCTTTCTTAGTCATGGGACTCAAAATACAGCATTGGGTACCTCATGGATATCTCAGCGTTTTGGATAAAATAGGGCACTCTTCATAAAGCATTGTTTAAGTTGGAGTCATTTTCATATCTCTTTCCTCTGCTCCCACATTCTTTGAGTCACCGTGGCCTACAGAATCTTCCTTTTTAGCATCTCTCACTTACCACTTGCTGTCTGCCTTCTTTAGCCACCACCTTGAACCAGAC